ACTCACTGAGGAGTTCACTTATAACCTGGGGATCGTTGTATATTACACCCCTATGTTCCAAGATGCTTACATTATTGTCTTTACTGCTTTTTAGACGTTTTTGCAATATCCTACAAAGTTCCTGAGTTTTGGTGTTACCCATTAGCGCTTTATTTTCCTCATGTTGTGACTTCATTTTGTGTTTCTCTTCAAGCAGTTTAAGAGTTTCATGTATTTGGTTTAACGCATTAAATTCCTTAAATACATGGTATTTCCTTTCCAATTTCTTTAGTTTTAGTCGCGTTTTCCGGTCAATAAATGGAGTTGGTGTCTTTAGGGCAGATTTTAGGGGCGCGATTGTGTCTCTTGCTGAGCCAACTGTTTTGTAGAAAATCTCAAGTGATACTTCTAAGTTATTGTTGATGAAGTATTCTTCCCAGTCAGAACTTCTCAACAGATCTGATAGGAATTCCCAATCAGCATTCTTATAGTCCCTATATTGATAGCGCACCGGGGAATTTTTAGGTGTGTATTTAGTTGTTAGTCGGAGGGGTGGCGTGCAGTACAATATGTTGTGATCACTGTTATCGAGTTTATTTCCCACCTCTATCGAGATGGGCTCTATGTTATGACAGAGGATTAAGTCAAGAGTATTTTGGTTCCTTGTAGGGAGGCGCACGCACTGCTTCCATCCTCCTATGTCTATAGCTTGTAGTAGCTCTTCATGGATTCTTGGTCCTGTACAGGTATCCCAGTTTACTCCAGGTAAGTTGAAATCTCCACATACTACTTTGTAGTCGAAGTCCAGCGTAGCTACATGCTCTAGTATTTCTGCAATAGTTATATCAGTCATTTCAGGGCTATTGGGGGGTCTGTATATACATCCCACGAGAATTTTACTTTCGTTTGTGTGGATGCTTATCCACTTAGATTCTGGGAGTTTGTCAGTATTTGGGTTATTGAAAGTATTGGAGTTAGTGGATTTATAGGCATATATTAAACAACCGCCTCCTCTTTTGTCAACTCTATCGTTCCTATAGATGTCGTAGTTGTCTATTACTAGCTTTGTGTCAGGTATATCAGTAGTAAGCCAGGTTTCAGTCACCATTATTAGTGTTGGCCGTTCTATGTATGCCAGGCAGCGAAGCGTTGTTATTTTATTAAGGAGAGATCTAGCATTCAGGAGCATAATTGTTAGTAAACCAGAGTTATTGGAGGAGAGGTTAACATGGTTACTTGTCACTATCCCTACGTTATGTTTGGAGGGGCTCTGAGGTGAGACAGAGTCAGTGTGTGTACTATTTCCTGGATGAACTGTGCAGCGAGTGGGGCTATTGTTTGCTGCAGCCGAAAATAATCCTGTTGCATATTTTGACTATTAGCATCCATGGGTCGGCATCTGCGTTGATCTACTGGTGATATATGGTCTGCCCTGCAATTTGGGTTGTAGTTTGCTGGACCTAGGTACCCTGTGTTAAGATTACCCTGGTAGTTGTACCTCATGGGGCTTTCATAGCCGTATGCATATTGGCTCACGTCACGTGCGTGAGTGAAGTTATTGAGGGGATCAAGTGTCGACCTGTTCTCATTATGATGACGAGGTTTAACATATATAGTGCGGGAGTCTGGACGAGAATTTTCGTTAATATGGTGCCTATATGAGTCCCGTTTAGTGCCCCATATATCCTGAGGATCCATTCTACGTTGCATTCCCAAGTTATGTGCGTTGTTAGGCATGTTACTTCTAGTTCGGGAAGGGGTATTCCTTCTCACATGCTGCGTGACGTCTTTGGGAATGTGCTTCGTTACCCATGCTTTGTCATTTTTTAGACTGACACGCTGCTTATTAGACTTATTACGAGGGAGGTATGTCGAAGTCTGGGGTGGGACTCTGGGTTTTGTGGTCTTTTTTGCGGTTTCTACTGAGGGACTCTCTGGCTTGGATCCAGATTGAGAGTGGTCTGCCAGTAGTTTCTGGTCAGCCATAGTTTGTGCGTCTATGTCAACCTTATGTAGGTCAGCAGGTTTTCGAGATGTGCTCTCGTGCACTCTAAGATTGCACCCAGTGGCACTGCTCTTACTGAGTTTTGGGTCGCTCTTACTTTCCGTTTTTTCTCCTAACACTATACACGTGACTTGCTGTGCTTCAGTGTCCGTCGACACTTTAGCACTGATACCAGATGTATTTCTCAGTGTTGTCAACTTTGTATCGAAGGAGTTCTTGGTTGCTTGCCTTTGGTTTGGTGTTTTATCCGAGACTACTTTAATAGTCTTGAATTTAGTGGCAGTAGCCAGAAGATCTTCGGCCATCTTAAATCGTTCAGCTGTTATGTAGCTGTCGAACCTAAAGAGTATAGGACAAGGATGCTTTAGGTCTTTTTTGCTTAGGCGAATGCACTGACAAGGTGCATTCAAGAGATTTGCAGCCTTCAGCAATGAGTGCTGGACTGACTTTATGGGCTCGCTATCCGGTACATTATACACTATTGCGTTTTGTTTTGAAGCCAGCCTTCTAACAACTTCGCTGGATAGAAAGTCGATGGCGTTTTCTAACTCCTTCGCACTTTCTGAGTCAGTATGAGTCATTCTAGAGGTCATATTAAAAAGCTTTAGGATTGTAGGATCCTGCAGTTCCTTTTTCATACGTGAGATAGTTTCGGGTATACATTCTAGTGAACTTAATTTCGTTTTTAATTCATCTATCTGTAGCTGCATCTCTTTAATTACGCCCGTTAAGTAAGAGAGCTCTACTTTTTCAGACAGAACATCTTCCACCTGTATTACAGGGGTCAGAGTTATGTTCGAGGCTTTTATGTTGGGCGAACTACTAATAATATGGGATGGTAATGTGTTATTAGACGAGCTGGTGCTATTTTCTGAATTAGTGGTGTTCACACGAACACGCTTTTTAGAATTTTGAACCATCGTTATTAAAGATCAATTATTAGTAACCAATAAATGAATATAAAAGAAAACACGTGCAAAAGCGTCACCTGATTCGAAAGTACCGGGCGATCAATAAATCTAAACTGTGACTGAAAAAATACATGTCAATATCACGCGGGAATTATAAATGATTGCGTTAGTTGAGGAAGGCAAGTAGCATTTCTGTACAGATGCTGACGTGATACATAAGAGATGCAGAATAAAAAATTATTATCAGTAAATGATTCATAAAGTGTTTCGAAGTCTATAAAACTTTAAATTCACCCGTAAGTACACCATATCTGTAACATTTCCAGTTGTATATGAGACCGACTATAAACTTGTAAGCAGATTTTATAATAAAGGTGGTCCCGTTATTTACCAGATGAGCTAGCAATATCACAAATAAGTGGAGAATAGCAGCGCTGTATCAGTACCTTTGTCAATGTAGTTGAAGATTGAACAATCAATTCATGGTTGTTTGCTCAAAACCAACTTCCCCAATTTTCGCGGAGGCATCAATACGACAGTCATCATCTTAATAATAATGTATATTCTCATATGAACATATAAATTTACATGAAAATGCATGCCATTCTTACAGGCACGATCAAGTACGATATAATATCAAATCGTAGATTGTCTACAAGTTAATAGTGTTTCAACAGTTAAATATTTGATATATATATAAATACACATTGTCTGAACTAGGCCGTATAGTTGTTGAATTGCACAAATGTCCTCCAGGTTGAGCGGGAAAATCGACTTCGTTTCATTTTCATCCCGTGGTTGCAGGCATACGATAACCAACCAATATTGAGGTAAGTACAACGTTTACAAGGGATTGAAAGCTGTTTTTAGAAAAGTAAAATTGCTAAGGTGAATCAATAAAGTGTAATGAAATGGGTAAGTGCAAGTATCACTAATAAATGCATTAATAAAGGAAACTCCCTAGGCTGACAACGTTCATTTGCAATGTATAATGCTACACGTATATCTCGTACTATCATGATGTCCACTTTTGGTTTTAATACATTTTTTCCTTATGTTGGTTTTCTTATTTTATGCCTTTTTGTGCATTTGGTGCACAACCGTAGCCTACAGAGAATAGGAACAGAATAAGTCGAATCAAATTCATAAAAAGCTATAAAATGTTAGATTTAATGTGATATAATGAGGATTAAGTACAGACGTTATTGGAAAATGAATGAGATAAGACATTGTGAAGTGGTATTGAAAGATCTGGCAATGGACAGCAAGTTAGTCTATAAGATGCCCCATAAATCTGTGCAGATCCCATGTCAATGGAGTTGAAGACTGAACGATCAATTCTTGGTTGTTTGCTCAAAATCAACTTCCCCGATTTTCGCGGAGGCATCAATACGACAGTCATCGTCTCATCGGTCGCTGTTCAGAAAGAAGAGTAAAATATCGTCAGAAGTAACAATGATTTATTATTGTAATATTAGTTTTCAGACCTTAGTTTGCTTAGTTCGCTTATTCCTTTTATATGTTGGTGTAACAATACAGAAATATCAAACGGCATATCGGTGTTTTGGTTTTTGCGTCCGTTATAACTAAGCGTTTCTGAGAAATCTTCTAAGAACAGCGTGGGCCCGAGCGTAGCGAGAGCTGGGCATTAACGGTTTATGAGACGTGACTGACAGTTTCTGACGACAGAAACAGATCAGGTGGATTTAAACAGTTGGTGAAAGTTTGGATAGTCGCCGTTCATTCTTCCTGGTGCCGGTCAAGTCCTCTTTGAACAAGCAATATCTGGAACGTTTTTGGAATTCGGTCAAGTTCAACAATGCCTGGGTCAAAGAAGGGACAGAGTGTCTTGGATGCAAACAGGAAAGTAAGTCATGGTGACTTGTCTGTTACTTGTAACGATGTGTCTGATGTTAAGCATGACATGGTTGATGTTACTGTTTCGCCGTTCAGGGATAATAGGAACATCAAACTCCCTAAATTAGAACAACGGTGTTTTGATGGAAACCCGGCTGATTATTTACAATTTGTATAGGAGTTTGAGATCATGTTGAGTATATATATATATATTTCTTCCTGTTTATGCAGGAACATACCAATTGTACAGGCATGGATAAGTTATTATATAAATTACACACAATTTAATGTATAATGAATTTACAGTTTGGTTGTTCTTTCTGACATTAGAGTCAGTAGGAACAGTCTGCTATAAAGTCTGTTTGTGTAGCACATAAAGAGATATAGAAATATTGTCTTCGCATTAACAAAAAACCCAGACATCAGATGAATGTAATACAGATATCTGGGAAAAATAAAGCTTGAAGTCAATTCTCCTATATAACTTTGTTGTGAGCAGCACCCATGGCTTAAAGATTATTGATGTATTATGTTGAGATCAGTGATATATTTATTCCATTTTTTCAGCAGTCTTATCGTAGTTTCATAACAGGAAAGAAATTTGATCGTGGATACGAAAACTAAATAAGGTCATGTTGGGTTGTTTTACTGCATCAAATGGTGCCGAGGTCGATTCCAGAATCCTCCATTTGCTCCATTTGTGTCTGCATGGCGGACTGTATTCGTAAGTTGAGTAAAATGTTGAAAACTGTTTGAAAACCAGTTGCTTCTTCATTTCAGATCATGAATACTCATTTACAGCATGTTCGCCAGCGTCTTCAAATGGTAGAATTGGATCGTTCATGGAATTTGAGTGGTTATGAGATAGACGGTTTGGAATTAATCCTCATTTCAGTTTAGATGCAGGGTTGTTCGACCTCGACCAGAAGATGAATAGGAGCAGCAAAATACCAGAAAGAGAAAGTATGTGAACATGAAAAGGACATTAATACATGGTTCATTTATAAATGTTTATCTTAATTATACTTAAGTAAACATTTTTCTATATTGTATCTGCGTTTTCACGTATTTATGCGAAGTCTTAGAGTTTATTTAATGTCATAATGTGTATTAATAGTCTGAGCGTTTTTATTGTTCTAATGACTGATGCGTTTTAGAAATAAGTGATGGGTTCTGGTAGGGATAGTCATTTGGACAAAACAGTTTATATAGCAAGCGTTTGAAGGTTACAATGAGGGATAGGTCCTATTTCTAAGGGTAGACTAATCCTGTATGTTCCGTACTATGTCTTTATGCATCCATGCTGCTAGTTTATTTATAGTTTAAAGATTGCTAAGGGTGTTGAAGTGCGTCTTTTAGGTGCTGTAGTAGATTAGTGCTTGATTCGTTCTAGGAGTAAATAGTTTATTAATATAATCAGTAGAGTGAAACAGTCTGTATAGAGAGCGTTTGAAGCTTGTAACCGAAGAGCAAGTTCTGATATCTAGGGGTAGGCTATTCCATATTTTAGAATACATGACTGTGAAGAAGTTTTCACGGAGTGTTGACTTAAAAGAATGAGTTGTCACTGTGGAAGTTTGGTTACGCAGATCGTAAGAACCTTCCTGTGCGAATTGTATGTCCCTGTTACCTGAGAAAGATATTTTGTGAAGGACCTTAAAGAAGAATATTAGGTTTATAATAAGTCGCCTTGTCCAAAGTGGGTCGAGTTTTAGGATCATGCACCGTGAGATGTAGTCTTTCTTACAATCGTAGCCAAGCAGTTTTGAGGTAAAATATCGTTGGATACTTTCCATCCTTAGCTTGTCACGTGTGCGAGTGCTGCTTATAATAAATGGACAGTATTCTAGTAGTGGTCTGACACATGTTTTGTACAGAATTAGCTTGGCTTCATTGTCGTGAAAGTTCCTGAGTATGCATCCTAAGAGCATCCTCGATTTTCTAGTCTGTGATGCTACTTGCTCTGAGAATGTCAAGTCACTAGAGTACCTCAGGCCTAGGTCAACGACACTTCGGAGTCTTGTTAGGTTAGCAGATTGGAGCGTTAATTTCAGGTCAATTGAGGGTGCACCGAAGCAGATCCAGCCACATTTGTTCAGATTAAATTGGAGATTCCATAGGGACGACCAAGCAGCCATTTTATCTAATTCCTTCTGTACTACATTCTCGAAGTTCCCTAAGTCATCACGTTGGAATGTATAAGCTACTTTTAGGTCATCTGCAAAGATGAATGGTTTCCCGTGCGTGAAGCAAGCGCATATGTCATTGATGTATAGTGTAAATAGGAGGGGTCCAATGACACTACCTTGTACTACACCAGAAGTGATAGGGCTAGGTTTGGAGGTTGCAGACCCGAGTTTAACTATTTGGGACCTATTGTTAAGGAATGATTTAAGCCATCCTAATAATGGGTCACGTATTCCTAAGGAGTTCAGTTTATTTGTTAGCAGTAAATGGTCAACACGGTCAAATGCCTTAGAAATGTCAAAGTAGATGACAAGTACTAGTTGCCGTCTGTCACGACTGCTGGTTACAAAATTGAAGAAGTCTAGGTGACATGTTAAACATGATCTGGATTTCAGGAATCCATGTTGGTTCGGACTTATGATGTTGCAGCTAAGCATATGTTTGATTAGGTTATTTTTGACTAGTCTCTCCATGATTCTAGATGCTATAGGTGTGATATTGATTGGCCGGTAGTTACTGACTTCAGTTTTCGAGCCAGATTTGTGTTTAGGCATAATGAATGTAGTCTTCCATATGTCAGGGTAAGTTTGGGTTTCTAGGGACATTGTGAATATTTTAAGCAGTAGTAGAGGAATGTCAGGGCCACCATATTTATAGAAGTAAGATGATATACCGTCGGTACCGAAACCTTTTGAACTTTTGAGGGTTCTTATAGTTTGGTTAATGTCAGCGTAAGTGAATTGAACAGTGCTAATTTGGTTTGGTGTGAGTGGAGTGGAGTTTGTGCCATTTTAGTAATAGGGTGTATATCGAGTAGCTGGACTGAGGGCTTAAGGTAGTTACCTGCAAACGTTTTGTTGAATAGTTCACATATGTCTGCAGAGTTAGTGCATAGCCTGCCTTTGTCTATGAGGAGAGGAATGCTGTGATTTTTGCGATTCATTCGCTTCCTTAAGATTTCTGTGAGTGCATACGCTCTAGCAGGACTGGCTACTGCGATGCGTTCTTCCTTTCTCATACGGAAATCTTGAGCTTGTGTGATGGAGCTAAGGGTTTTAAGTATTAGACCTAGAGTGCCAAAGTCGTGGTGTTTGAAGTAACTTGTTGAGAGTTTCTTCAGTTTCTTACGATCCTTTGGTTTTATGAATGACTTTCTGTGTGGGGAAACCTTTAGTGTTTGGAGTGGAATGACAGCATCTAAGCATATGTTTGAGTTATGGTAGAAGATGGTTAGGGCTCTCGATAGGTCATCAGTAGTGAAGTATTCATCCCATTTGGAGGATCTTAGCATCGATTCAACTAAGGCCCAGTTTGCCTTACTATAGTTCCTATATATTACTTGTTGTGAAGTGGAGGTATGAGATGCATTGCTACTCAGCGGAATTGGCAGTGCACACATTACTGTTTTGTGGTCGCTCCCTGGGAACTCAGAACCTACTAGCGTTGAAAGGGGGCTTATATTGTGGCAGAAGATTAAGTCTAGTACGTTGTTACCTCTTGTGGGAGTAGTGACAGTTTGTTTCCAGCCAAGTATATCCAGTGTGTCTAAGAACTTATCAAATTTAGTTGGACCTGTGGGTATATCCCAGTTGATTTCAGGTAAGTTAAAGTCCCCACATAGGATCTTATGATCGTATTGTAAGTCGGTTAATTGCTCCAGAGTATTAATGAGTTGGGTCTCGTAATTACTAAAGGTGCCAGGTGCTCTGTAGGAGCATCCAATTAGTGCTGTTACGTTATTTAAGTGTACATTAACCCATAGAGTCTCAGGCATGTTAAGTGTACTACTTTCTAGCTGTGATACAGTAAGTTCATTCAAAAAGTACATGAGACAACCCCCTCCCTTACCACCTTCCCTGTCACACCGAAAGTGTGTGTAGTTATCTAAGCTTATTTCATCATCCAGGATGTCCGAATGACACCAAGATTCAGTGATGACAATTACAGGGGGTTTGTATATTACTGTGAGTGCTCTGAGCATCGGCAATTTATTTAGAACAGATCTAGCATTTATGAGGATTACGTAAAGATGAGAGTTGAAGTAGCATTTGAAGTATTTAAGTTCGTTAGTCAGCCCCGAATATGGTTCAGCACCCAGTAGTTCTGCTGGACATGACGATCCTATGTTAAGAGGAGTTCCAGCATCATGCTCACCTATGTCTATCGAGTTGTTGTGTGCTGTTTTCGGTGAGAATTAGGAGTTGGAGTACTGGATTTGCTATAGACTAAGGAACTTTTATTTTTAGTTAGGTTACAGAAGTGGGTAGGGTTCTTTATTTGGCCTATACTTGTGCAAGTGTCAAGTGTGTCCAATGGATACGGGTGCACTAGACCGTTCCTGTTTTCATGCAAGGAGGGAGCCAGCACTAGTGGTTTAGGAGTGTTAACATCCCTACCAGCTGTTTTTTCAACGCTGACAGGGACGCGGGGGATAAAAAATGATTGGATCCTTGTGATGACCATGGCTTATTATTCCACCTATTGTTTGATGCTAGTTGTGTCCTTGTGTGGGTTTCGTGTGTACTGCATTTTGGGTTAGTTCCCAGCAGACTTGTACCATACATCCGGTCGAAATTTGTTTGTGTGCCATACTCTGAAGACCCTGAGTTGTTGGTAGCCGAGTTCTGACTGTTACCACTTGTACTATTTAGGGTGACATCGTTGTGACATTGGATATTAGTGTGTGCCACGGTGCGATTTAGCACGTTGTGAGTGCTAATACTATTAACCGTGGGGAGTGTGGGCTTATTTAAGCTGCCACTGTTTTTGTTGGTATGATTTAGGGGCATATTTTCCTTATCTTTACCAATGGAATTATAGCTAGGAGAGGACAAAGTCGAGTTTCGGGGGGTTTTAACTTTTTTTCTGGGGTTATTTAGTGGCATTTTAGATTCTGCGGTGATGGGTGGTATGGTTTTATTATTTATTTGGTTACAGTCTAGTGGCCTTTCGGCTGGTGTTGCACTCTGATGGGACATTTCTGTGTGTTTTGAGAGGGGTGATGCGGTGGGGTCTACTGTATCTTTCACAGGGTTGGGGATAATGGCTTGCTGCAATGTCCTATTACCTATTTCACAATTAGTCTTAGTGAGATAGTTGTGTGCGCGCCTTTCTATAACTGTTTTTTCCACCCCGACCTTTATATGTTTGTAGTTTCTGGCTTGCGATAGGGTGTGTTGGGAGTGAATGAATTTTCTGGTCTCTGCCGGTGTTTCGAACTGAAATCGAATAGGACAACACTTTTCATGTTGACTCTTCTTCAGCCTGTAGCACTTAGTCTTGGAGTTAGGCATTTTCGCTTCACTAAGTAAGATGCGCTGTACCTTTTTTAGTGCCTCATTGTCCGGAACGTTGTAGACAATAGCACTCAGTTTTGCGTCGAGTCGTTTTGTTACTTCTGTGGTAACAAAGTTAATGAGGTTATTCAGGGATAATAGGAACATCAAACTCCCTAAATTAGAACAACGGTGTTTTGATGGAAACCCGGTTGATTATTTACAATTTGTATAGGAGTTTGAGATCATGTTGAGTAGTTTTCTATCAAGTGATGAAACGAAATTGATGTATTTGATGAGATATTGCACTGGAAATGCTGCAAGAGCTATACAGTGCTGTAAGTTTATGAAGCCAAAAGTGGGCTACTACGAGGCTATTAGCATATTACGTCAAAGGTTTGGAAGACGTTCGATGATTGCAGGGAAATTATTCGAGGCTGTTAAGGGTAATGGTGGTCAATTACAGGATGACTCCAAGGCACTCACTGAGTTTATGGATAATTTGCTGGTTTATAGGAATGCATTGATTTCGATGAATCGAATGAGTGACCTCAACTCGAGTTTTATACTAGAAGTAATAGCAAGACGTCTACCTACCCGACTGCAAAGGAAGTGGGTGAAGATGAGCTCCCGTATGGAGGATGAGGGTATCGAGCCAAAGTTTGATGATATCCTGAAACTAGTAAAAGATAGTGTCAATCAA